TTCCTGCCAACCTGGGCCACTTTGGCTGGGCAGGGGGTGGCCCCAGGGCAGGCGGCAGTGTGTGCAAAGGGCCCCTTTGTGACATGGTGCAGCACGGTCACTATGGCATAGACCGGGACAGGATGGCCTTTGTGACACGTGCTGACATAGGAGCTGGCAGTGACCAGAGCACGCCACTCTGCTCGGAGCAGGCGACCGGAGAGGACGGGACAGAGCGGTGCCGTGAGGAGCCACGTGCAGCGCCCTTGTTCATTGCTGACCTGGAGTTTTTCCTTGACCTGACATTTGCAGGTGACCTCGAGGCCAGACCACAGGACTTGGTGACCTGTGGCCTTCTCGAGACTTCTCTTTTACAGGTCCCCTTGAGGGCAGACCGCAGGACTGGGTGACTTGCAGCTTTTCCGAGGCATCTCCCTTCCTTGCGGCCAGTGCCCTTGAGGCCTGACTGTTGTACTTGTCAACTCAGAGCTCTTCCAAGGCCTGTCCTTTGCAGGTGCTCTCAACACTAGATTTTGGGAGAATGGCAGAGAAACGCCAAGGCATGTCCATGGGGAAGAAGAACAAAGGCTCTTCAGCTACCCCAGTAAAGCAGCGTAATGTGACACCACGGTCCCAGCCACTGGAGGACAGTGAGTGGCACAGCTGGGCCACAGGGCTGATGGCTGCGGCCAGCTTGATCCCATCTCCATCCCCATCCCCATCCCCATCCCATCCCATCCCCTGGGGACGTGCCCATGGACAGGAGGGAAGAGGGCCCGGGCAGACACCCCGCAGTGTCTGTGCTCCATCCCCTGGGGCATCCTGGGCTGTCCCTGCCTGGGCAGCGCAGGGCTGGGCTGTGTTCTCCTCAGCTCTGGCTGCATTCACTCTTTCCAGATGCAGGGAAGAAGCAGGACCGCACTCATGGTGGCTTCAGCAAGACCGTGAAGGTACCTGCAGCCATCCCCACCTGGGCTGGGCCTGCTGTCACTTGATCAGCTGAGCACTCTGGAGCGCTCCATGGAACATCCCTCTCTTCTCTGCTCTTCTGCAGAAGTTCTTTTCGTGTGGAAAGACTACAGATACGGAGAATGCAGACAAATTTGGCTACAGGCCAACTGATGTTAGCACAGCATCAATTGAATGTGCAGAAATGAGTAATTACGTAGTGAAGGCTGACCAGGTAACAACTGAGGCCAATTGAGACACCTGCATGACTGAGGTCATAAAAAACACTGATACTACCCCCACTTTAACTGTCATTTATGCTCATGATTTATTATCCATGGATAATCGTGGTTTTTATCAAAAGTAAGAAGCAGCCAATGCCCATGGCTGGAGGCCTCCCAGGATCATGCGGCCCATCAAGCCACGTCCACTTGCCTGCCTCAGCCTTTGAGGCCAGCACAGTGTGGGGGGAAGGGAAGCACTTCTTTGAGGTAGCTGAAAACCTCCTCTCAGGAAGCACTCCAAGTTTTCCCCACACCTCTTCCAGGTGCCAGAAATGGTGAGGATTATGCACCAGAGACTTCAGTCCCCTGTGACTGCCAATGTCAGGCTATTCATGAACATCCTGAGGATGGCAGAAGAACACCCTGCTGACGTGGTGCTGACCCTCCTGCGCTGTGCCCCAACGTGTGACAGGTACGGGGCCCACGAGCCTTGAGAGCTCAGGGCTCAGCAGCCCTTAGGGCCCACGGCCCTGCACAGCCTGTCCAATGGGCTCTGCCAGACAGGCAGAGAGGCCCAGGAGCCTTGGGCCCCTCTGTTTGCTCAGCCTGCTGCCAGTACTCCCCCCCTGCCCTTCAAGGCTCTGTCACCTGGGCCCCCACGGGTGCACAGGGCAT